TACGCGATTGCGCCCCAAACTATGATTCCACGTTGTCGCACGGTGGGGCGTTCCACAATTGCTGCCGGATTGGACCTTTCTCCACGTCGACGCCACACGCGTACACGGCGACTATCACTGGACAAGCAGAAACGCGACTCATCTGAGAACACGACCCTGTGCCATTCCGTCATCCACGTCGATCTAGCCCGGCACCATTCCAAACGTTGGCGCCTATTCGGTGGGGTCAATGGCAGTCTTCTTAGCGGACGGCATGAGTGCAAGCCATTAGCAACCAATCGACGGAAAATGGTTCTAGTCGAGATGGAATGATCTAGGGTGTCTTGCACATGCTGCAGGATGGCGGTACAAGTGGCTTGTGGGGCCGCCACTGCTTGTCGAAGGATACGCCGATCCACACGTGCTGACGTCACTCTGGTTGCACCGACATTCCTATAAATTGCCACATTTCCTTGTTCCAACCATCTTCTCCACAGTCGGGGCACCGTGGACGCACCAAGGTGTGTATCAGCTGCGATTTGACGTATGGACCAACCTGCCCTTTTCAGTCCGATCACCATGCCCCTCGTAAAAGCGTCTGTCTGCTTGAACTGCCTCCGTTTACGATGACCTGGCATTCTCTGTTATTACACGTGTCTTTTGACACAAGAACAAAATTTCTACAATGATTTTCCTTGAAGAAATAACGACACGAATACTGTCCTTTCTGCAAGTTCCTTCCCTTATATCTTACTCCATTTGCGCACGAGAGCTGCGCATTTTACATCATTTGCATAACTCGGTTAGGCGCGTCTACCCTGAAATTTGCATAATTTTCTGGCCACTATTTCTTGGTGTTCCATTTTCAATGTCACGCAGTGTATAAAAATTAATGTATGTGTGTGTGTGTCCTTTATGCCTGACCAAACCACTCATTGGAACGCCATGAAACTTTGGGAAGTTATTTAGTATAGTACTGGGAAGGTTTCTGAGAAATAATTTATTGAATATCTTGAATATCCTTAGAGTTATTTGCAGATTTGTAGATTTAACTCACAAGCAACGGCCCCATTGCGACGATGATGACAAGTTTTTTTATCTATAAGTTTTATTATCACTAAGTTTATTATTCAAAGATTATTTATCAAAAGTAAGATTTTCTACCTATTAATTGCGCACAAGCAAAGTTAGTTATCGAGTATTTTTCAAGGGACCAGGAAAAAATGTTCACTAGATAAAACGATGATTTTGTAACGTAGAAAATTAGGAAAGACAAAATTCAGGATGACACGGCAATTTATTTGAGACAAGAATAATTATATAATTCCAAGGCAAGATACTATTCCTCTCTCTCTTTAACTTCCGATTACCGAGAGAACCAATTAATAATGATTTTATTCAACTTATCGAGTATTTTTCAAGGGACCGGGAAAAAATGTTCACTTTATCGAGAGATTCAAATTTACGAGTTTCAAATTATCAAAATATATCTATTATTTTTTTATAAGTTTATAGAGAATTGTTTTAACAAATGTTCGTTAGACAAACCTTTACTCGGGTAAAACCCGGGCGAAGCCGGGTACATCCGCTAGTTTAAAATAAAAACTACTTGATAGTAAATAGTTATTTTTCTGCTTTTCTTTCAAAATGACAAGACTGCAAACGATACCATTAGGTACTCATGTACTCAAAAGAACCAGCAATTAATTTCTATCTCAAAATAATTTATTATAACATATATATCTAAAGAGAGACAAGGGTCGCTTCTCCGTCAAAACCAGACGCCATCTATTGACCGTCGCCGCAAACTCGCGGCCTCGGGTCGGCGACAAAGCCACAACACCAGCTTTGGCAAACTGAAAATCGTCCACCTAGAGACCATGGTTTCGGGCTGATGGACCTCGTCAGTCTAGGGCGGACTTTATACCATGAGATCCATACAGGATCTAATGGAATCTTGACAATCTGCCAAAGAGGTGTTTAGCTGGCAAAGTGGCTGGGCCAAATCTATGGCTAAAATAAAGATGTAAATTATGCCGGGAGGATATTGATCTAAAGAGACATGGGTCGCCTCTCCCGTCAAAATAGACGTCAAAACTATACGCCATCTATTGACCGTCGCCGCAAACTAGCGTCCTCGGGTCGGTGACAAAGCCACAACATCACCTTTGGACGCTTTTCAATTTGCCAAAGCTGGTGTTGTGGCTTTGTCACCGACCCGAGGACGCTAGTTTGCGGCGACGGTCAATTAAGGCTTGCCTAACGAACATTTGATAAAACGATTCTAGAAAACATCCAATCCACCTTCCTTACGGAATCGCTTCAGCCCCAGCCATCTGGCAAATTGAGCAAATTCTATCAGGAATACCTAAAACTCTGGTCTACTTGGACGATATCCTGATAACGGGAGAAACAGAAACTGATCATTTGAATAATTTAGAGACTGTTTTAAATAGGTTAAATGAATTCGGACTGAAGGCAAATAAAGAAAAATGCAAATTCTTTCAAGAGCGTCTTGAATACTGTGGTTACGTCATCGATCGAAATGGACTACACACGGCCGATAACAAAATAAGAGCCATTAATGATGCTCCAGAACCTCTCAATGTAACACAGCTACGAGCATTCATAGGTTTTGTTACCTACTATCATAGATTTATTCGGAATGCTGCGGAGATCATGTCACCCTTATATGATCTTCTAAAGAAGGGAACTAAATGGAATTGGTCACCGAGTTGCCGAAAAGCTTTCAAACTAAAGAAACATATCGTCTCTTCTGATCATATTTTAATGGCTTATGACCCTGAATTGCCCCTTTGTTTGTCGTGTGACTCTAGCAGCTATGGAATTGGCGTTGATAACGAGGGAAATGAGCACCTATTTATTTCATCTCCAGGACCTTAGCACCAGCTGAAAACAAGTATTCTCAAGTTGATAAGGGATGCTTGAATATAATTTGGGCTTTTAAAAAATAAATAATTATCTATTTGAAAGAGAATTTACATTGGTAACAAGTAATGAGCCATTACAATACATCCTCAGTCTTAAACGAGAAATTTCACCAAATATGTCTGCACGATTGCAGCGATGATCTCTGAACTTGTCTTCATACAATTTCAGAATTGAGTGAAATAAGTCTGGAGATCATGGTAACGCCGATGGTCTTTCAAGACTCCCGCTTGAGAAATATGAAGAATTGGAGGAAAATGATTAATTAAATTCCGTTCACATGATTCAACAGTGTGAAGAGTTGCCTCTAACATCAAGGCATATCAGGCGAGAATCTTGTAGAGACCCTATTTTAAAAATTGTATACCATAACATTGTACGGGTGGATGGAAAAAACCATCGAATGCTGAATTGCTTCCCTTCTATCTTAGAAAAGTGGAAATTACAGTGGAGCAAGGAATATTGCTTTTGGGAACACGTGTAATCATTACAAGGAAATTTAGAGCAGATATAAAAAGAATTACATCTGGGATATATGGGGGTAGTAAAAATGAAATCACTGGCCCGAAATTTCATCTGGTGGCCAGGTATGGACCGTAAAATTGAAGAAATTGCAAGAAGTTGCAAAGAATGTGAGATGAATAAACACACCAAAATCAGAAAATGTTCACAGATGAGAATCTGTTCCTACGCTCTGGCACCGAATGAATAAGGAAAAATATCACAGCCTGCTTTTAAATAGTAACTTTTATCAAGTGTGTAAACAAAATAGCAGATTGCTATCTTTTTCTTTCTCTATCTCTCGGGGGTGCGGCCACGTGGCGCAAGCTCCGCGTTCTTATGGGATAGAGATTGAGGCAATGGAGATTTGTAACCCCTATGGCAGTGATTCTTAACCTTTTTTTTTTTGTTGCGGCATTATTTTAAAGATTTGAAAATTTGGCGGCACAATTTTAGAATTTCGCGGCACACTTTTGCTAACTTGAATGCAAGAAAATTCAAATTATGTATCAATATTTCTATGCAAAATATAAGTAATATACATCTCTAACATTCAATTTGCTAATTTCGTTATTTTAAAAAGTAAAAAAATGAAAAAGAAAAAAAGAAAAACCAATACAAACGTGAACATAATCATATGACTAAAATTCGGCGGCACATTTTTAGAATTTCGCGGCACACAAAATTACCGCGGCACATTGGTTGAGAATCACTGCCCTATGGGGTATTGGCTGAAAGCCAGAAGAATGGGCTCCAAGGTCATATAAATATCATCCAAAACTGCCAAGTCTCCGCCGAGAAATCGCCAAAATATTCTGAAATGACTGAAAGTCATTCAGAATTAACTGTCAAAATATTTTTTGTGTCCGTGATTTTATTTTTTGATATTTTATAATGATCTGGCACTCTTGTTGTTGTTGTTGTTGAAAAAAAAAGGAAGGCTTACCCACACCTTGCTTTGAAGATATTTGTTTAAGATGTTCAATTAAACATTTTGTTAAATAGTAAAAACTCTGCTAATTCTTTAACAAAGGTTATGGCCAGCATAACAGAAGACTGTAATTATAAATAAAAAGTTTCTTTGTTTTTGCAAATCTCGCCATTGCTTATTGCACAATTTTTAAGACGACGCCGATCGCATTTGCATTTTTGGAAAACAAAGACGATTTGCCTATCTTTTTTTTTTAAGAAGAAGAAGAAACATCTTTTGGGGTAAATATACTTCTTGAATATCTACTTTTTTTCCACAATGAGTTCAGAAGACTTTAAAATAACGAAATTAAATGGTGAAAATAACCATGCTTGGTCTATTAGGGCTAAAGCTACCCATATATAAAAAGGTGTATGGGAAGCTGTTGATCCAGGTTTTGACGAAACTCTAACTGCAGCTCAAAAGAAAAAAAAACATTGCAATATCACAGATTTTTTTAATTGTAGAAGACGAATTTTTGGATGATATTGGAGATTGTGAAAGAGCAAGTGAAACATGGAATATTTTAGAAGAAATACACACCAAATATGGATTGCTTCACATTCTGCAATTACTGAGAGATATATTTAATATCACAAGTGGCCCCGTGGCTTGGTTAAAGCGTCTGTCAAGTAAACAAGAGATCGTGAGTTCGAATCTCGCCGGTGCCTTCTTTTTTTGGGGGAGTATCCTACAAGGTCACAGAATAAACAGCACGTGCAGCACCGCTCCAGTAAATATAGTTTATATTACTAATATTTCAGTGTATATATTTGCCTTATACTATGAAAGGGATAATACTGTTACTCTTAATACTCGTGGTATGCAACACTAAATATGTAAATTTACTCAAGGTAACGCACTATGCAAAAATCACAGTAGGAAGGGATAATGATGGACAATGTGGTCTAAATATAAACTTACCATCTGGGAATATATCTGGTAACCAAAAAAGACTGCTATGTATCATTTTGGCTCTATTATTTATCTCAGGCATTGAACAAAACCCTGGCCTCCCAACCAAAAAGCAAACTACATTGACTGCGCCAGTACACTCAGGAGAGAGAGAATCAATAGATGGCGAGCTAAAAATGCTAATCTTAAACATGGCGACGGAAATAAAGAGTCTAGGAGAGAGAATTGACATCAGACTTACCAAAATAGAGACTCGAATGGACGATTGGTATATGCGATTCTGCAATATTGAGGAGAAGCTAACTAAATGTATAGAGTCTCAACAAGCTACCGAAAAACTGGCTTCATGTAATTCGTTAAAGGTAAATGAACTGGAGGCTAGAGTCGAATTTTTTTAGACGAGACTGCGTGAGCCCAATCTAGTGTTCTATGGTATTGAGAGGGAGGGTGACGAAAATCAGGCAGATTGTAACTTAAAGATTCAAATGGAAATCGGAGATGATTTAAAATAACAAAATGTCACCGAATTTCACGCGGATCCAATGCACCAGTTCTTGTTGTGGTGCCTGATTATGCTGATAGAGCAAAAATATTTAAAAATGCCTTCAAACTCAGAGATACTGATATTTCGATAAGTAAAGATTATAGTAAAAATGTTAGAGAGCAACGGCGCATCCTAATTGCAAAAAGGAAAAAATTGGCTGAAAGGGGAATAAAATCGAAGTTGAGAGATAACAAGCTTTTTGTAAATGATAAAGTCTGTAAAGTGATGAATGGCCAAGTTGTTGATAGCACAGGAGATGCTATATAGCAACAACCTCGTAGAAACAATTGTGTAAATAGAAGAAATACGACATCAAAATCACAAATTAATTCCCAACCCTATAATCAAATAACGGAAAGTTACTTCGACATAAATGCATGTAAATATGATTCTCAAGACGATGACAATGCAATTTTTTCTGAAAATTCGCGAGACATCGCGGAAAAAAATAATATGTTGGAATATAAATGGTTTCTATAGGATTCTTTCGATATTTCCACTCCTCGAGCACATAAAGAACTACGAAAATTTTGCTCTACTTGAAACATGGTGCCTGAACAGGACTAACATAACACTAAAAGATTATAAAATTATCGAATTACCTGCCACCAAAGAATCTGGAAGGGGAAGAGGATCAGGGGGTATGATTGTCGGTTTTAGGGAAGGCGGGCAATATAGAGTAGACAGTTCAGAAAAGGATGGCACTTGGTTATCTATTTTCTTATCAACAAACACAAGAGCCCTCCAACATGTTATCTGTTTGATATTTGTATACCTTCCTCCAAACCAAATACAGCTGCATAACTTAGAGAAACTGTCTACATACATTCAAAAGCAAATAGCAGATGGAAAGGAAATAATTTTACTTGGAGATTTAAACATCAGAACTGGGAAGTTGGGAGGACTACACAATCCACTTAATTTCCAGCTCCCTCTAACATCGGAAAGAAGGGCCAAAGATCATATAATATCATCTCTGTCTGATAAACTTCTTGATTTCCTGGAAGATAATTATTTGACAATAGTTAATGGAAGATCTAGAGGGGATAAAGATGGAGATTTTACATACATATCTGAAAGAGGCTCTTCGACTATTGGCTATTGCATACTCTCACAGGGTTCACTACAAATTTTACTGGACTTCAAAGTCGATGACCAACTGTACTCTGACCACCACCCTTTGGTTTTAACGATAAAAGGCCAAAACTTCAATGAGAAAAAACCAAACGGGAAGATTATAATATTACGAGATATAGATGGTCAACCGACTCGCAATGTTTAAAATGAAACTGGAAGAATTGCGGGAAAAAAACATACCAGCCTCCGATTACCTTGTATACACTTTCAATCAGCGAATTTTGGAAGCAATGTCATCTGCAAAAATAACGTACTCAATTAAGGGCGGCCCCAGGAAATCTAAGCCGTGGTTCGATGAGGACTGCTATGATATGAAAAAAACTGGCAAAAGAAAGTCTGAAGAAATATCGTAAAACAAATAGATTGGAAGACAGGGAATGCTATGCTTCTTCCAGAAAGAAATATCTCGCTTTATTGGATCTAAAAAGGAAAGGCTTTGATAATGAAAAACAGGAAATACTCAGAAATGCTAAAGACTCAAAGACCTTCTGGAAAACTATTGCGCTCTACAAAAGCACATCTATAAATCCAAGGAGAAATAGCTATACAGGACTGGCTGAAATTTTACCACAAACTAATGACTACAGAGAAAAATTTGAGGATTTGTAATTTACATAATGTGATTTCTCAGAACGATCCTATATTGGACTCAGAGATAACCAATGCAGACATATACAAGGAGATAGCTGGTTTGAAGAGTAACAAGGCATGCGGGCCCGATGGCATCCCCAATGAAGTATTAAAAATACACCCTGATTCGTACATACTGCTGTTGAAACAACTCTACAATAGTGTTATGACGAGTGGAAAATACCCAGCAATTTGGACTAATTCCACTATACACCCAATCTTTAAAAAATGGTTATAAGAACAGCCCCTCTAACTACCGAGGTATTGCACTGATTAGCAATGTATCAAAGCTTTTCACTTCAATCCTAAGATCAAGATTGGAGGAATGGGTCGAGGGAAGAAGGGTTATACCGGAAAACCAAGCGGGATTTAGAAAAGGAAGATCATGTATTGACCACATATTTACGAGCTAACTACTTTAATCCAATTATCATTAAGAAAAAATAGGGGAAAACTATATGTATTTTTTTGTCGATCTAAGGAAGGCATTTGATACTGTACCTCACTCAATACTTTGGAAAAAACTTTACAACCTAGGCATAAGTTACCAATTCATAAGTACGATCAGAAGTTACTACGAACAAGCAACTATAGCTATCAGATGGAAGGGATCATTTACGGAAAGTATTAAGATAAACTCGGGAGTCCTCCAGGGAGAACCACTTTCCCCACTGCTCTTTATATTATTTATCACGGACTTATCGAAATTTATAATAATTCAGACCTGCCGAGTGTAAATTTGCCAGAATTTGGAGAAATCCATTTAGAACCTCCAAAAGAAGATCAAAATACTGAAAGAATATCTCGAAGAACTTAATGACACTAATGAGTCCAACTCAAAGATTATGGTGTTCCGTAATGGAGGTAAACCCTCAAATAAGGATAGATGGTTCTGGAATGATAAACCCATAACAATAACTTCAATATATACAAACTTGGGATTCCCTCTGACACCAACAATAACAACTACTCACCCGGCAAATTACTTTAAAGGAAAAGCACTTACAGCAATTAACGCCACACACCCAATATTAATAAAATCAAAAGCAAAGTCAATAAATTTATCAATCAAACTCTTTGATACAATATAGTGAGAGCTGTCCTTATGTATGCCGCTCCATTGTGGGCAACAGAGCATAAAGACTTACTGGACAGTATACACTCCAGGCTACATAATCAGATTAGAAACCGGTCGTTTCTCTTTGAGTGTAACAGCTTTAAAATTAACCCTGAAGTATTGGCTGCGGGTGTTGAATATGAGCAGTGACAGATTGCCGCGTATATGTTTTAATAGAACACGGGAATTGTCTAATGCTTCGGGCACACCCATCGGCTTCATTAAAAAGCTCACCAATCTGCTTAACAATAATGGATCCTCTGCACTTGTTTCCTGTGATGATCCTGAAACGCTGAGGAGCGCTATTACAGGGCTCTTAAAAACAGCGGCAGACCAATCTATACAAAATGACCTTACAAGAATGAATAAATCTAAGCTATACTCTCACTACAAAGACATTCACATATCTTTCATGACGGAGGGGTACCTTTTAGGGGATTTTCCTTTCCCGGTTGTAAGACTACTCGCACAAGTTAGAATACTTTCAAGTTTTTTTAGAGAAAACCACACCAAGATGCTCTGCGGTGAGGACCCTATTTGTACCTTCTGTAATTCAACACTAAAAAATGAAATCAATCACTATATTTTTGATTGCTCTGCTCTGAAAGAAGAAAGAAGAACCCTTATGCTCAAAGCTGGGCGACTCTGTGCTTCACTTCAATCAATAATTGACAATATGACCCATAATAAGTAAAATGCTACGGCGTTTTATGGTTTCCACAAGTCCATATCTGAGAAGAAGGCCAAGTGACACTCACTCCTCACTTTCTTACTGCTACTCTTTTTGTGTTGTTTTTCTTGCTTCCCTCTATCTCTTTCTTGTTTTTTATTTTTTTCTTTTTCTTCTGTATATATCGTTATTTCCTTTGTCTCACTGCTTTGTTCTTGTGCATACCTCTGGTGAATCCTGTATAGGGTCAGTGACCCTAAATAAAGGCTTTTTGTTGTTGTTGTTGTTAATATCACAAAAATGAATGAATCAATGAAAGATTATATAGCAAGGATAATGAACATCCACAGAAAACTGGAGAAAGGAGGACATGGTTTCAAGGATACAGAATTGGCACTCATAATGCTAATGGGGTTGCTCTAGACCTATGAACCAATGATCCTGAATTTGGAACAAAATGAGAAAAACTTTCAATCAAAATAGTCAAGGCTAAACTGTTACTAGAAGAAAAGAGACAACTCAGACATGACACCATTGAAGAGGAAACCACCTCAAGGGCCTTTGTGGTCAAGGAAGAAAAACAGCCAACTTCCCATTTAAGAAGAAAGTATCTCCTGCAGAGAAAACCCAAGAAGCTAGCACATCCCACAATTATCAG